ATCTATCTATCTATCTATCTATCTATCTATCTACCTATCTTGCTTGCTTGCTTGCTTGCTTGCTTCTTCTCCTTCCTTCCTAGGCAGGGGGTTGGACTAGAAGACCTCCAAGGTCCCTTCCAACTCTGTTATTCTATTCTATTCCTTTTTTATCTTTATCTTTCTCTCTTTTTCTTCCTCTCTTGTCCCTCTCCGTTCCTTCGTTCGTTCGTTTGTTCCATCCATCCATCCATCCATCCATCCATCCATCTTCCTTTTATCACCTTCCTTCCTTCCTTCCTTCCTTCCTTCCTTCCTTCCTTCCTTCCTTCCTTCCTTCCTTCCTTCCTTCCTTCCTTCCTTCCTTCTTTCCTTCCCTCCCTCCCTCCCTCCTTCCTCTCCTCTCCTCTCCTCTCTCCATTCAAAGCCAGCTGCTGAAAGCGATACAGATCTGAAGAAGCCTCCATCCGCCTCCCTCAGCCTCTAGGCCTTCCTGGTTTCGGGCCCTGCCCTGCCCTGCCTCCCAGGCCACCCAGAGGCCCCACTCCACCCCAAGCAGTTGACCATTTAATCAGTGGGTGCAGCAAAATTTCACAAACTGACTACCTAGAACGCTATAATCGAGTTGCTAAAACCATACACTGGAAACTGTGCCAACAGTTTGGATTTTGAGCATAGTAACAACTACTGGGAACATCAGGTTGAGAAGGTTCTGGAGAATGAAAAAGTCAAGATCTTGTGGGACTTCAGAATTCAGACTGACAGGCACTTGGCCCACAACACACCTGACATAACAATAGTTGAGAAAAAAAAAGGATTTGGTTCACTGACATTGCAATACTTGGTGATGCACGAATTGTAGACGCGCAGCAAGGAAAAAAACCCACAAAGTATCGGGACTTACAAATTGAAGTTGAGCGACTTTGGAAAAAGAAATTGTGTGTTATTCCAATTGTAATTGGAGCAATACCTAAAGGGCTGCCTCGCTATTTGGAAATTCTGAATTTATCAGAGTTGAATACCCTGATTCTACAAAAAAGCCACCCTACTTGGAACAGCTTATATCTTCCGACGCTACCTGAACAGTTCCTAGGTCCTTGGTTAGGACTCGAGCTGTTGAGCTACCAACCAGCCCCAAAAGCTGTGAATCTCACTAAAGATTAAATAAATAAATAAATAAATAAATAAATAAATAAATAGTAGTAGTAGTAAAATTATTAAAAGCTTGGCATGGGAAGATGCTGAGCCAGAAGTAGATCAGATGCCATCAATCAGAACTCAAGTTCATTCTATCGCCACAACTGATCTTCTTGCCCTCGTGTCACCAATAACTCCTGGGTTGAGTCACTCCCATCCGGCTGAAATTGTTGAGATCCAAACACAACCACCCTGCCCCCCTTCTCCCCCCCCCCCCCCCCCCCCCCCCAAACCACCCCCCCCCCCCCCCTCTCCCCCCCCCCCCCCACCTACCATTTTCAAATATCTGCTTGCTTCCCTCCCTGTCCAGCGACCTGCAACACGCACAATCCACAGCCCCTTTTGTCTTGGTTTTTAAATCGCAACCAGCAAAATGGCGCCAGGATTATTTATCTGGAATTGGCAGATTTCTCCACTCAAATTAAACATGTGTGTGTGTGTGTCTGTGTGTTCGTGTGTGTAGTGACAAACCTGAGAGCAGTGAGGAATTGACTCAGCCCAACCCACAGAGACCAGCCAGCCGGGCAGCCCTTGGATCAAAAATCACAGATGGAGGGGATCAAAATGGCACACAACAAATGACAAGGTTAAAATTGTTGCTTGGTGCTGTCCCAGCTCACGAGAATCTCTTCCTCTGACCACACTTGGAATGCTACTGCAGCCGGTTTCGATTACCACAATACCAAGAAGATGTTTAGATTAGGAAGAGGTGCAAGAGAACCAGCAAGATTAGCTTTAAATATACCCAAATATGAACCCTGAATGCTGGAAATGTAAAGATGAGCAAGGTATCTCCTTTCACACGTGGTGGTCTTGCCCCAAAGCAAAAGAACATTGGAACAAAATTAGAACGTGGTTGCAAGAAATTATTGGACTGCAAATAGAATTTAAGCCTGAGATGTGTTTTGTTAGAGGAGTAGTTAAGAAAGATATTGAATACATTATAATACACACACTAACAGCAGCAAGAATAGCCTATGCCCAGAGCTGGAAATTAGATAGCACACTCCCACAGGCAGTATGGTTATAAACAAAATTATGGACTGTGCAGAAATGGCAAAACTCGCGTTAGAATTGCAAGAGAGGGAAGAGAAGGAATACTATACGGTCTGGAAAAAAAATGGTACAATTGGTTGGAGAGTAGGACAGCAGGAGTAAAAAAATAATATAAACAATTAAATGTATATATGTTTG